GGTTGGGAGAGCTGCCCGGCCCTGCTTCGTCCTGCCCTGGTGCCTCCGCCGGTTCAGGGCTCTGCCTCGCTCGCCTATTATCTGGGGGAGCTTCTCCGCCCGGCTGGAGGTGATCCGATCCGTGGGGGTTGTATCGAGGTTTTCTTATCGTGCGTGAAGGCGGGAGGTCTTTGTTACAAACGGCTGTGTTTCTCGCAAGGCCCAGGAGCGCAGCTGCAGTGGCTGCCCTGGAATGCCTACTTTCTCGGAGATGGGCGCTTCTTTTATAAACGCGTGGAAGCGCTCAGTAGTCTAGAACTGAGAAATGGGAAGTCAAGAAATTGGGGCCGGGCGCGGGGGGGAGGTGGTTGTTGACAGATCTTTTTATGGGCGTTTGCCTGGAGAGAAAGGAAAGGGGAGTCCTTGGGACTAGGAACGCACTTTCTTTTTTCCACTCCATAGTGGTGGTGGAAAGAATACACGGTGGTATGTGACGTTCCTGTTGGAGAGTGGGTGTTGTCACAGTCCTGTTCAAACGAGATGTGAATGTGCGTAAACGTAGCATCACTTTCAAACGTGATGTGAATGTGCATAAATGTAGCATCACTTTTTATTGGAGTCTTCCTGAATACTGAGAAAGCACACATTATTTTTGCTCCTACAATCTCAAAAGTTGCTGTCCTCAGGTTTATGAGTGCAGTACTTGTGTTTCATGTATTGTTTCTTAATCTGTATAGAGTTATTGTAGAGAAAGGAATAATTTAATAGTATACTCAAGCATAGTTGAGTATTACGGAGTGAAATCATCAGAATTAATTTTTGTGTCTTTTTTCTTCGTGTTTTGTGTGTGTGTGTGTCTGTCTATGGATGTGCAGTTTTTTGCCAGCTCCAACGCAGCTGTCTCAAGACCAACTAGAACTAGAAGAAAGAGCAAGAGCTCAAAGATCTAGGCAGACTGCTCTAGTCTCATCACGAAGGGAACCTCCCCCATATGGTTACCGGAAAGGATGGATACCACGAGTGCTAGAGGTAGATATTTGAATTCACGCTGTAGTGTTGTGTCTGCTAGTGGGAGGAAAAAAAAGTATGTTTTCTGGAGTAGAAATAAACTCCGAGTGTCCTGAGTGTAGCTCAGAATTGTGCAAAGCCTTACCTCATGCAGCATTTCCATCCAGACTGCTCAATATATTCTTGGGTTGGGGGACATTGTTCTGATTCACCAGAGTGCTTAAAACAGTTGATGGCAAATAGGATGTTATAAAGATTCTTCCCTTCAGAGGCTGTTGTGTTGTAATATGGAAATAGGTCTATGGTCCTTTCAGTTTAAATCTGTGAATGCAAGGATCCTCTGAGAAAGACATCTATGTTGTTCCTCTGTCATTATTTGTTAAATACATGTTCCAGATTATAGCTGGTATAAGTGAACATGTGCATATCAGAGAAGAGAATGCTCATGTGTATTCTGTTCTTAGCATAACAAAAGATAGCTGCTATTGGGGGAGAAAATTGTTAGAGTTGGAAGGAAACCTGAAATTTGTTAGATAGTCATTGTTTAAGTATGTGACTGGCAAAAAGATTTTGGACAATGTTGTGTGTATTCAGCTGTAATCCTTGCCAGTTTAATGTAATTTCAGCTGGAAACATTAAAAGGTAGAAGGGAAAATGCAGATGTATAGCTCTGATTACAAAACTCTTTTAGTACAGTTTCTCATTCTGAGCCACAAAACCTTCCAGATTTTGGAATGGTACTTAACAATAACATCGGGGACCTGCTCTGTTGGGTCACAAGCCAGCGCTCTTGGGACAAGGCATGCTGTTGAGGTTTTGATAGAGTATTTCATGTATGATCCTGCATTGTTCCCAAGTACCATAATTTCACGAGCTAGTAACAGACTTGCCCTCATTTATGTTTGAGTCCCATTTTTGTAAAGATTGGTCCAACACCGTACCGTGGTGATCCGTTAGTGCTAGGTAAGGTGGCTTCAAATGGTAGCTCTGGTGGTTTTCTGAAAGAAGATATGTTTATGTGGGTTCAGCATTTAATAAAGTGTATGATGTTAAGAATTATACCTTCGTTATACTCAGTGTGGGGTTCCCTCCCTGTTGATTACTAAAGTTAATATTTTAGTGCTTATTCTTTCTAAGTGTTAGTAAAAGAACTAAAGAAGTCAGGTGATGAAGATTTTCAAGGAGTTTCCAGCATCACTGGCTGCAAAGTGATACACGTATCAAAAAGACTGTTAAGGACTCATTTCTGCCTCATAAACAAATGCACATTCTTCAAAAGTGGCAAATGTTTCCAAACCATAGCCCTTGTCCAGTGATCCTGGAATGCCATTGTTGGAAAAAACAAAATCTGTTCTTAATAGATCAAGAGTTATGCAAAAACTGTAAGGAATGACTGATTTTTCTTCTGGCTAATACTTTAACATTGATTCTGTAACTATTTGTTGGATGTGGGACGAGTGGAAGACTTTAAATAACTGAAGCTGTATGTCAGTGAGGACTTAAAAGATTCTGTAAGCATGTTCTGCTTTGGAGGAAAGCTCATTCATTGCAGCCTCAGTCCATGCTCTCTGTTGCAGTGGTGTTAACTATTTGGTCACATGGTGAGCATGGTGGGTGATCAGTCTACTCAAGACACCCATTCTTCCTTGATCTGGTTTGTTATCAGACTCCAAATAAGCAGTGCCACTGCAACAGAGGGAGAGGCAGATGCTTGTGCTGCTTTAAGCAAATACTGCTGCTGAAGGATTGTGTTTTAAACTGTAGCCTGAAGTTGTTTTGTGGTTAGTACCAATTCTGCGTGCATCCTCAGTGTTGCGGAGTCAGGATGGTCCGCTTTAAGAGCGCTTTTGGCTATCTGGTCATTAAATGCTTTTACAGCAACACTTTGAATGGGAGTGTTAGTAAACCTTAAGAATGTTGGGCTGTTGGGTGCTGGCCCAGTTTGCAATGTATTCACACATCAAAAGTAAGGAAACGGGATAGCTTGGCATTCATGCCGTTGTAAAGCTAGGAGCTACAGACTTTGAAAGGAATGGAAAGCTTTGTTAACTTCTTCACTTCATTATGGGGTGAAAAGGAAATAACCAGTAGAAATATTCATTTAAAAAAATGCTGCTCCTGTAATTTTAGTATTTCCACAGTTGCTTTATTGCAGAAGGTAAATTTTTGAAGTTCTAATTAATAACTCACATGTGGATTAAATACTTAATTCTTTATTGTCTATACCGTAGTAGCGCCTGTGCATTCTAGTCAGTGATAGGGGCTTTTGCTCTGTGCAGGGAATAATTACTGCAAGATGTCTATGTGCTTCAGCGTCTTCTCTTTAAGTGTAAGTTCTATAGTCCATTGCTCTCTTACTAGCTAGAATAGTAAAGTTACTAGAGCATTCTGGCAATATTTCATTTTGTTAAAATCAATCCACTCTTTCATTCTGTTTCCCACCTGTGCAAATGTTATACCATGGTTTTGTCTTTTAGTCATTCACTGAGTTTTCTTTTGTGTAGGATTTTGGAGATGGGGGTGCTTTCCCAGAAATTCATGTGGCCCAGTATCCATTGGATATGGGCCGAAAGAAGAAGATGTCCAATGCTTTGGCTATTCAAGTGGATGCCGAAGGAAAAATAAAATACGATGCAATTGCTCGCCAAGGACAATCCAAGGACAAGGTAATATTTCAGCTATGTAGTGACATGTATACCTGGAAAAGTTGTATGCATTGCATAGAAGCTCATTGATCAGGCATTAGCAAAATGGATTGTGTCCTGTTTTCTTGAAGTTTAATAACTGAATGTCAGACAGACATGAGCATTTTGACTGCGATCACTGTGTGGTGATCTCTGTTGTGTAACTAAAAGGTAAGGCAAAAATAGCAAGAGTCTCTACACAAAACTTCCTTGATTGCTTAGCAGCTTTCATTGGGGAGCTTTCCAGTGAGGGCAAGAAACTGAAAACAGGCCTGATCACAGGCAGTCTCATTTCAGTGTGTAGAGAGGGGACAAATAAAAGAAGACATAAAATACAGTTCAGCTTTCAGAATACTGTACCCTGTGTCTTACTAATTTGACATTGGGCGCTTCTGGCTGTTTTCAGTGTTGTTGGGTGCTCTCTTCCTTTTTTAATTGCAGCAGAAAGTATTGCTGCTTTGTGTTAAGTTCAGTGGTGGCAATATTCCCATCAAGTTTAATGGGAGCCAACTTCAGTTTCCTGTATACAGTAGCCTTTCTAAAAACAAAGAGATGACACCTTATATTGAAGTCCTAAGTAGTGTTGAGGAGACTGGGTACTTGGGTCTCCTAAGTCCACTTTGAGGAGTATTTACGTCCACCTTTTCAGATGTAACAAAGTGGACTACATTAAAACTGTAATTCTCTTAAGCAGGTGTTGGGGGCTGAAAAACTGCTGAGACGTGACCAAGTGCATGAGCAGCTGCTTGTTATAGCAAGCACCCCTGTAAAGACTAGGGTAACCCAAAGAAAATCTAAAGAGAGGGCTAGCTACAAAGGGTGTTTCAGTTGATGGATATGAGTAGTTGTTTTCAAAGTGATTTAACTTTTCCTGCTTTAATTTAGGATGCCTTGAAAAGCTTATGGGTATGTAATACACCCCATGTCTTACTGCAAATGAGGAAAGGGGAAAACATATCTAAACAGAGAAACAAAAGGTGAATTTTACCTCTCAAACAAAAAGTAGGGTGAGCATTCTAAGCGTATGAGTGGAAATATTTTTTAACAGTTAAGTTTTTTTTGTTGTTTTAAATTGATCTTAAAGTTGCAAAAAGATAACGCGAATAAGATTTTATACTTAACTAATATTCTGTCAAGAAAGTGTCACATCTTGTATATCCTCATCCTGTGCATCCTAAGTTACTGCAGTACCTTTGGGGAAAAAAAAAAAAAAAAAAAGAGTTCAAATCAGATTATGTGCTGTCCTGTGGTAGAAAGTAGTCGGCCTAAACAGAAACAGCAGTGGCAATATTTTTGAGGGGCTTTCATTGGTGTTCTGTCAGGCCTTGTGTACTGGCTTTAATTATTTGTCAGGAGGAAGGTGTTAAAATATTAATTAAAGAATTTTGTGACTAAATATTTGGTACTTAGTATTAAATAGAATTTTTACGTATCCAAAGCATAAAAAATAATTTGGAATGGATAAGTAGACAAGAAGTAATAATCATAGCGATTTTGGGGAAGCCATAGGGCAAATAAGTAGCAAAAAAAAAAAAAAATAGTGTAGTTAAACCCTCATTTTTACAACTTGTCAAATACTTCTTTGCTTACCTTTAGGATCAGATTTTATTTCCATATAATAGAACTGTTCAGATTGGGATCTAAGCCTAATAATAAGCTGTGACACCCTCTCGGCTACATCTCTGATCTTAGCTCCTGGAAGGCAACAGAGCTCCCATGACACTCTGTCAGGGCAGCGGATGGGCCCCTCAGTGCCTTTTAACAGAGAGTCTCCCACAACGAGCGCTCGTCGTTTCTTCAGTGCCCGCTGTGTGCTGCTGGTACAGTTTCTCTAGGCAGACCGTGTTCAGGGGTGTCTGTATCTGGTAAAGCTTCGTCTCTGAGTGTCGTGGTGCTGGAGGGCGGAGACTGAAGCAGAGCCTTGCTTTTGTGGGTCACCAGGGTCCAAGGTGCCTCATTCTCAGTAGTGTCTGCTAGAGCCACGTGGTTATTAAACCACCAATTTATCTGTGTCTTGGCAATGCTGCACAGCCTTTTGACTGTCTCCTGCTGCTCTGCCACCTGATGGGTGTTCACCTCCCATCTAGAGCGCAGCAGCCACTGTTGCCACGTTTTGTAGCAGCTTGCCAGAAGTGAGATGGAGTTTCTGATCCTATTCTAGCAGCTACTTGTTTGGTCTGAGTTAAGAAGCAAATTTTGCTTTTGCTACAGCTTATGGATTTTTTGAAGTTGAATTTAGTGTTCTGCCTTCTTGTAGAGGCAGCAGTTCATCACCGGACCCTGTATCTGGATGGCTTGTCAGCAGTTTCTGCTGTTGCAGTGGTTCATCTCTCTTGCATATGTTCCCTTACATATTTAAAAAATAGTTGCTTCAGAGAATTTTCCTTGGAAAATGCTGACGTAAATGAGAGAGTCTGACAAGCCGCCTGTTTGGGGCTGGCAGAAAGTCTGCTAGATGTGGAATGCTGGATAAGGTGGACAAACCTGGATGCATGACCTTACAGATCCCGAGGATGGAGTTCTGTCTGGTCGTCCAGATGAAGGATTTCCAGCATTAGACACATGGTTAGCTCTTGTGTTGCTATAGAGCCTTCTAATACTTTCTCTACTCGCATTACTAAAAGCCAGGCTAAAAATAATGCATCAATACTTGACGTATTTTGGTGAGACTGATGCTCTGTCCCCTTATTGTGAAAATAAGGATGTATAATTGCTTCCTGTGTTTTTATTAAGACAGAAGGAGTGGAACTATAACTTTTTTTTCTGGCAAAGATTATTTTTCTGTGTAGGAGTTGCATTTCTTCTTGGTGGCCCAAGGCTGTGGCTTAGATGTTAAAGGAGAAGAGAACCACAAACCTTAATGTACATTTTTTTTTCTCAAGATTGTGAATTCAATTGAAACATTTACAAGAGTAGTTCCATTGTTGAAGGAACGCCTGTCACAGCGATGGAACAGGTCAAGACAGCATGAATATCACTAAAATAATCAGAAGCATTCTTTACTCATGATGTATTTGCCTTTGTGGTAGAGCTTGGTTTGAGAGCTTATTGCCAATCTCTTTGCTGGTGTGTATGTGCCAGTCTGACAACCAGGTAATTGTAATGACTTCTAAAATCTTATATGCTTCATATGGAGAAACCAGTCTTTGACAAGGAAGGAATTAAATCTGCAGTGCTCGACAGTAGCTTCTTGATTTACACATAGGGTTGATGAGCACTGTACAGGGCTGCTCTGGATATATAGAATAAAATATGCTGAGAGGAGGGATTTGTGTGTTACAAATTCAGAAATTTCTGTCAAGACACTTGTGTCTATCAGGTGTCTTGTGAAACTCTGAATGTGATTAGTGTGTAAATCCTACCATGAGCTACAGTTCCTTACACAGCTGGTTAGGTAAGATTGTTCTCTTTCTGATGGCGGTGGCTTGCAGATTTCTAATTGTTGCCTGTTAAGGCTGCCCCAGCCAGAGAGGGAATCATGTAGCTGTACCAAAAATGGAGCATTTCATTTTTGCCTGGAAGGTGACTCTGCTTTTCAGTAGCAATCAAAATGAAATATCTGAAACGCAGGCTGATGCTTCCTTTTGAGTTTTGTAGATGAAAAATGGTAGTGGATGAGTATACTACAATATCAAACAATCTGAGCGTCCTCTTTATCTTAGATTAGTAAAATGTCTCAACATTACTGTTAAAGGAAGGTAAATACTGAGAAAAACAACACACTGGAACATCTTTAGCTGCCTGTCAATACCATCTCAAAAAAGGACTCCAATTAGAACATGCAAGCATCTCAAGTTTTTGATGGAGTCAAAAATTTTTGTATTTTCAGGCTAGTTTAATCCATATTGTGGATTTCTTCCATATTAATACAGCTTGCCATTTGCATGCAATACTTCAGGGTTTAAATAGGTCATGTAGCTCATTTGTACCTCAGTGTACTGTAGTTTTTAGAGCACCTCTTTAGACTTCTTTTCTTGTCTTCTGTGATACTCTGAGCTCTTTCAGCATACTTTGTTCTTCACGCAGCAAGACACTTGGACTTAGAGTTAATTACCTTAGAGGAACACTGCTCTTCAGATGTCCTTTATTCAGTATCTGAGAAGCTAGGATGTTATTGATACTAATTCAAAGGCTTAAAATTTTAGGAGTGAAGCAGTAAATGGCTCTTCAGCACAAATTAGTGCTGAAGCTAAAGGTCAGTTTCATAGTTGGACATGCACTTTATAATGGTCTTGAAATAATAGTTGTAATGACTTTTAACCCTTTGAACTAAGACTTTCTGATGTTATTTTGTTGGACGAATGTGAAGCATTAATGCAATACAATAAATTTTTCCCTGTAGCCATGTAATAGTGTTCTTT